TAGGTTGGAGGCGATCGCTAGTAGGTTGGAGGCCATCGCAGGCCATCGCTAGTAGGTTGGAGGCCATCGCTAGTACTGTAGGTTGGAGGCGATCGCTAGTAGGTTGGAGGCCATCGCTAGTAGGTTGGAGGCGATCACTAGTAGGTTGGAGGCGATCGCTAGTAGGTTTGAGGCCATCGCTAGTAGGTTGGAGGCGATCGCTAGTAGGTTGGAGGCCATCGCTAGTAGGTTGGAGGCGATCGCTAGTAGGTTGGAGGCCATCGCAGGCCATCGCTAGTAGGTTTGAGGCCATCGTTAGTAGGAACTTGGAAGAGCACTTTGCCTCACGAGTCAAACACTGCAGGAAAAATCACGCCTTCAGGCCCATCTCACCGGATTGAGCAGCACCAGATCAGTCCAGACTGGCCAAATATTACAAAACACCAACAGGACAGACCAGGGGCACTGACAAATATGCACTTCTTCTTGACAGGTTGTCATGGAATGGACAGGCTGCAAAACAAGACAAGACAATGCTGAGATCATGGAAACTGAACCTTGCTCAGCACAAAGACAGACGAGAAGATCTCAACAGGATGCTGGCTGACCCAGGTGATTCTGGAGAAGACCATCATCAAACTTGGGTCCTTGTTGGCTTTAGGTTTTGGAGAGGCAGCCAGCTCAGTTGCGAAAGTTTCGGATTGAACATTTGAAGCGAGTGTTTGCTGGCTCAGAATGCAGGCTGGAGCAAACATCATTGAGCACAACATGCACGGCGTTGACAGTGCCTGCGTTGATGAACACCTTGCAAGTTTTGATCCGATCGATTTGTTTGGTTGCTTTCTGCTGGATGCTCAATTCTATCCTATCCTTGGTTGTCAGTTAACTGGAGAACAAGCAACAACCAAGCACAAATAGATGGTAGTACAGTGCAAGAAAAGCCATTTGCCAGGCTATGGTCGAAGGAGCGCGAGTTGAGTGCATCATTGGTGCCACCCGCATCAGAGACTTTAGCACCGCTACTGAGGCGAGGAGGAGCACTTCATATTAGCCTTCAAAATGCAAATGTTCAACGAAGTGCGGCGTACGGTGAAGTTGCATGGTGCCAGGTGTTGCAGGCAAAGGTCATGACCTTTGTCAACCAAATAGCAGAGGCGGAGACATCCTGGTCAGAACTACTGATAACGTTGTCATTTTTGCATTCAGCACCACGGCCAACGCATTTTTTTCAATATGTCGCGTCGGATTTGGCTTGCCTTTACGCGCATTGCAGATTGTCCATGGTGTTGTGGATGAGTTTCACGGAGCAGCAAACAAGAACAATGGTCCTGGCCTTTGGCAGTTCTAGTTGTCGAACACGATAACACAGTATCTATGAAGACAAAGTAAGATGTGAATGCCCAGGTGACACTTTCCTAATGATTTGGAGAGTGATGGGGGATATTGACAAGGCCTGTTTTGATGGGTTTTGTAGTCTTGACACTAGCTGATTGCCTTCGTGTCAGGTGGCAAAACTTGCTGATATGTCCATTCTGGCCTTCACTAGGTTCGATGTGAAAGGGATGTTTACTGTCATTTTCTCAAATTTCACTCTTCGCGAGCATGCCTTTGGAGCTTTGATGGATTAAAAGTAAAGTGAGTGCCAGGATATTGGGAGCCATCCACCGAACACCGGTGCTGGCAGCCTATAGAGGTGTGGTGCTTTATAAGCAAAGGCTGAAGTCGAGCCATTTTGCACACAAGGTCACCCTGGCCTTCAGCAGCGTCTTGGTAAGAACTGCAGGCCTGGAAATTCAGCAGCCATTCCAAAGCCTTCGCTCTTTGGGATGCGAAAGCAAATGCAATTGCAATGTGTTACTTCTAGCGTCCTTGCTCTTAGTAGTAAGGCCAGGAGCCCCTAGTCGCGTCCTTGCTCCTAGTAGCGATGCCCTTTGCTCCTAGTAGCTTCTTGTTACTATTGAAGCCAGAAAGCACAGACCATGTGGTCAGGGTAAATCTAAGCAGCGGCCTTCACTATGGCTGGGCCATCGAAGGTGGATGCTGCTTCGAGACTTTTTAGCTTTATGCTAAATGTATCTAGATGTTAATTTCTGGAATCATTCCTTTACTGGCCCTTTTGCACAATGGGTCTTCTGCTCCACACATTCAATCCGAGCAAATGGACATTGCAGGAGCTGTTGGCAGTGAATTCAAGATCGATGCATCTTATTTGTCACCAAATGCAAGCGGCTCATTGTTTAGTGCTTGAAATAGGTTCGTTTTGCAGATATTAACTTTCTTAAATCCTGATTCTTGTGCTCCTGATTGAGGTTAGCATTGCTGAAACAGTGGAGCGTGCAACGCAGATTTATGGCGTGAGCGTTCTGGTCACAACCCTATGACTGGGGGGTTTGCGTTCATTGGGCTGCAGCCACTAAATCAGGTGCCTGCAGATCAGGTAGGTCCTTCTTAAATTGCCATCGGGCTCTACTTTTTGCATCAGCTTCTAGTCATAGCACAGTAGTGCCTTGTGGCAAAGAACACAGAAGCCGAAACGTTCCGCTCACCTGCCTTCCACGCAGAATTGACAGATTCGTGCTCCTTGTTCCCTGTGCGGCAATCAGGTTGCAGAATCTGTCGTGTCAATCTGCTCTCCTCCGATGGCTGCCAAATGCCGGTTGATCGATCGGGTCATCATCACTGGGTGGACGACTGAGCTTTGTGGTGTAGCCGAACCCATTTGAGCCCGGAGATAAATTTGTTTTGATCTGATGCATCACAATTTCTCCGCTCAAGCGAGGTCTGTTGTGCCGATGGATCTCTATGTGATTGACCTTGACTACTTGAGCCTAACAGTTCCTTAGCAAGTCTTAGCCGCGATAGGACCACCGTCTCTTGGACTACAGACTGTATTGTCCTTCGAGCCGCCCTGTGAAGGTTGAGCCTCCTCTTGGACCTCAAAAATGGACGACCAGAGATCGCTTCAAGGCACTTCCATGACATGGAAGGGGCAAGAAGCTAAGCTAAGAGCCCCATGAAAAGTCTGTTCCTTCAGGTGCGACAATTCTTGGAGAATGAGAAGGAACAGAAGTTGGCCGATGGGGTGCCTAAGCGAATTTGGTGCTGTTTCTGTGATGTGTTGCTTTATGAATGGTTTTCTTGGAGGTCAAGATGGTAAATTTGTTCAATGAGAATGCAGGCAAGGATGTCAGTTGTGTCGCTGGTGGACGGCCACTGTACTAGCATTTTTTGTTCGGATTCCAGCTGAGCTACATGCGCATCATGAAATGATGGAGTGAACGTGTTGAAGAGAGACTGCATTTGACACGTGAATTTCATGAGCATTGTTGAAGGGCCGGCAGTGCAATCACATGCGTAGCCAAGTGGAAGTATCTCAAAGATCCGTCAACTTTGATTGCCAGATATAGCCTCTATGCGTTTCCGCTACACGCTGGAGTTCATCCATGTTTGCGACTTATTCACGGACAACATTGCATTCAATTGAGATGTTGCTGTGCTTCTCTTAGTTTGAAGTCAGTTTGGCTCATCAGGTATTCAACATGGGCTACCAGAACTACTCCCAGGGTGAATGGCAGGCATGATTTGTGCGCGTTTTGTGACTAAAGAGGCTTGTATACTGGAAGGAAAATATGTTTTGGTCCTTATATGTGCTTACCTAACATAGACCAGTGCCCACTCAGTTCACCCAGACTTTATGTCAAGACTGATACCTGGGACCAGGTTGCACAAAGACTGCTTCAGCGCACCAGGGATATGCTCGGCGTAGAGGCCAGCTTTGATCGGCTTCTTTGCAATAGCACTGTCACTGGAAGTTCCACAGAGGGTTCACGATATTTTTCATATTGATTTCGATGCAGGATGGGCCCAGTGTTGCCTTGCTGAAGTTTATGGAGCGAACCAACTACGAGGCAGGATTCTGGGGTTTCCATATCCCACGAAGTGCTCTCAAAATCTTCGAGCTTGGGTTCTTTTGTGTCAATTTGCTACTAGCAGCTTCTCTTACTAGTGCTACTAGCTATTTTTATCTATTTTCTACCCCACTCTCCCTTCGTGACCTATCCTCCTTAAATAAGAAAAACCACAGCAAGTGTCTAGGATAGTGGCAGAGCCCTGAAAGCCTGCGAGCACCTATGCAATGTGTGAGGCTCCTGACACTTGGCAAGGCATCAGAGATTTGGGTTGAGGGCCTCAGCAAGCGTAGCCGCGTCGCCAGTCTTTTATTCTTATCGCCATGATGTCAAGAAGCGATCCTGCAGGTCATGCATCCTTGTCTTGATCTACAGCGTGAAGCTACATGATTTTCCTTTCCAGCTGCAATTTTGGCAGCGGCTTCCTTCTGCCTTCTTTTGTTGCCCATCATCTCTTCATGCATGAGGCAGTCTCAACCAGACACAGCGTTCATCACAGTACAGGAGGGCGTTTATGATAAGTAGAAAACAGGAACCTATGCTCGATGAACGAAGGAACGATCGGAGGCTAGTCTCACACACGATAGTGAACAGTGCGCTACTGCAAAACGCAGCTTGGTGCACCAACGAATGGTTTGTGAGAAGGTATGTGGAGCATGGTAAGAGAATCAAACAATTTGTCATCATTGGCGATACCAGGTCACGCACGCGGAAGTGAAAGTGGAAGCCATGAAAGCTCCGATGCAAACCATTTGTGTTCATCTTCGCGGCAGAAAAGCTCAGCAGTTTCACTGTGGCTGTGGAGCCGGTCCTACGTGGCAGCGGCCTTGCCCAGGATTTGAAAGCAAAGTTGCTTTCATTGGACTGCTGGGAGCAGTCCGTGTACAGCTGAAATTGATGGCTAAGTTGTAAGTGATAATTTTGGACAGCTGGAAATCGTGGGCGTAATCCGTCAAAATGACATGTGGTAGACCACCCAGAGGTCCAGCTTACCAAGCTGAGAAATTGAAGCGAGACATTTCTGCCCCAAAGTGCAGAACGAGCAGATCGCGAAGCGATTCTGTTTTTCTTATCGCGAGACGGTAAGGGGTTTCCAGGCACAAGTTCGCAGCGAGTCAAGCAACTTAACTTTTTTTGCTTTGTGCAGTTCAAGAGCTGACAGAATGGAGAGCCAGTGAAAGAGTTTGGAGCATTTTGCAAGGTCTCTCTATTGGACAAATCCAACGTCAAGGTGCGACCGGCCCGGGGTTGTGCTTTCCTTTGCAGCACACATGTTCTTCAGTTCTTTCGCGAAGGAGAATGGCGGTTGCTCCAGCCGGAATGACAAGTTGAATATAGAGCCCCTTGCAGTAAGCTCAGCAATTGGTGACGGGCTATTTGCCTTGTGGGAAGATGTTGTTGCCAGCCATATCCTGTCTTCAGAACACACTTTCTTTGTTGAGTTGCAGCTTGAATTTTGCTTGACTTGATTCTCTTTATAAGATTTGCCTTCTTGGCAAAGGATGCTTGGGATCCTTTAAAGTCCTTGTGGGACAAAGAACGAGGCAAGCCACGCTGCTGCGCCCAAAAGAAACAGTAGCCGAGATAGCGGAAATTGAATTATGCAAACAATTATATAACTATATATATTCTGTACAGTATATATGCCATGGTTGAGGGGGTTGGCTTCCTACTTGCAAACACCGGAGCAGGCTACTTGCTTGTGGCTTCTACAAAGTGGTAGTGGCTAGTCCAACTACACCTTCAGACCTCAACGGCTTTCAATCCTGCTTTTGGCAGGGGCCCCCCAAGGGGGGGGTATTGTGTTTTTTTGGGAGAATTTGAAGACTGCTGCCCAAGCGGAAAAATAGGGTGTTCTGTAGTAGTGAGGTCTACGAAGCCGTTATCAAGACAGAATGTGATTCTGTATTGACATCGAGCTACTTGCATGGTGGAAATGAATGCGTAGAACCGAGTAGCAAGAGATAAGTCTGGGCCAGTTCTGCAAAAAGTGTCGGCCAGTGTAATGAATATGTAACTTGGAAATTCTGTGTGAACAAACAAATGGAGAGACCAGGGACATGCGCTGTTTGGCATCCTTGAGGGTAGTACTTCAGGGTACCAATGCCAATAAACATCAGGTGTTTGGTGTCCAGAATCTTTGGGATTGCAAGTGGCAGTGGAAGAGAAACACATATTTTGACTTGGTGGGCTGCCTAAGATTGTCTTTGTCCCAGCTATGTGAATCCAGAACCACTGACCCTCTGATGTGCATCACCCGAGCCAATGAAAAAGTACACCCGTTGTCCCCTTGGCAGGTGTTGCTGCTGAACAGGGTCGCGTGATCCTCATGGCTACATCAAGATGGCTGAATGGCGCGGCTTCCCTGTCTAAAGCTAAAAAGTCACCATTCTTCTCCGCTGCAGCAAGGAGACACTGCGATGCCGCCAAGGGCTATGGCATCTTTGCGATTCCTTGGCCCCACAGTTGTTTTCTTAGCTTTGAGTAGTTGCTTTGAGTCGTCGCGTTGAGCGCTTCATGAATCCTACTCTTTGCAGCAACTGTAGTAATTCATTTTTGGCCAATTTGTCATCAGCTTCAAGAGAAGACAAACCTATTTCTGAACTAGAACTAAGCGACACCTTGTCGTGACATCATCTTGAACACCTGTGCTCTGCCACCTGGCTAGCTGTACTTGCGTTCATTACCACTAGGATGTCCGCGGACTTTCCCAGACAACAGAGGGACGAAGTTCTCAGGTAGCAGAGGCCCAGGATGCAAAGCATTCTACAGAGCCTAAGCAGGCAAGAACTTGAATTTTGGCTCTAAAGTGATGCTTAGCGATGCATGGACTTCAAATAATACATGTTGTTGCGTTTCACCATACCCCTTTTTGGTGGACTTTGCCTTCACAAACCTCCTCCCTTTTCTTCCAACCTAGTAAGCATTGCTCAGTGTAAAAACAATGGAATCAATATGAAGTAATTGCAGAGCAATTCCACTAGTAACAAGGGCATCCCTACTAGTAACAAGTGCATTACTAGTAACAAGAAGTTACTAGTAGCTATTTGCTACTAGAGTCACACAGAGGGTCAGTTCAGTTTGTTTGACTCGCACAGGATAAGCTTGGTGGCTCAGGCCCCGGTGGCCCATGTCTCACAGCAACTTTGTATTGTCAGCCTTTGCGAGGCAAGACCTCAAAGTCGCGGGTGCAGGAGACAGTCATGTCATAGCTCGATTTATTCAGTGTCATGTGTTTGTGATGCAGAGCACTTCTTGTGAGGCCAGTGGCAAAGCTCACGTGGAGCTGCCCCAGTCGAACATCAAGGAGCCAATGGAAGAAATATGAAGAATTAGAGTGAGACTACCAGAAATAATACCTTGCCAAGCACACCAAATGATGCTTTCAGGTAGCGCGGACCTTTATTGAAGTGGACGAGGGAGCCAGCTCTTTGTCTTCTAGGCCAATTTGAAAGCAGTCCTGTCATCCTGCCATGATGTCATTCTGACGTGTCCTGTTTCACAGGCTCAAAAAGTCCATGAGTTGGGGGGGACATTCCCATGTGTTCCCACACTGAGCTGAGAGGGGCATTTTTGTAATCAATTTTTACTGGATGTGAAGCGATGCGCTAAGCACGTAGCAAAAGGTATATAAGTGTTCGTCATGGCTTCACAACCAACCCCAGTTTTGAGGATGAGCTAGACCTACTTTTGAACCAGGTCCTGCTTTTCGATCAAGAGCCTTTGGTGACTGGCCAACTGCAGTTCTTGCAAAGGCCGTCCCTTATTCTCTCTCGTCTACAGTTCAAAAGCAGGCCGAGCCTTCGACACGCACGGCCTGCCCGACTTGCACAGTCCAATTTTTAAGCTGGACAGCGAGCTGTGAGCACCTTGCTGTCCTCTCAAGCTGTGAGCAGCTTCTTGGGCTTTCCCACAGAAAAGGTACAATTGTTGTGCTGCTGCCAGAGATTCCTTTTGAACATTTTGAAGGAAAGGCTGAAGGACGCATCAAGCAACTTCTTTTTCTTGGGAGGTTTTGCCTACTGTGGATGGTTTTCAATTTCTTTGGATGTCTTCGTATATCGGCTTGCAGAGCTGGAAAATCAGCTCCGCCGTGTGAGACTTAGAAGACTGGGAATAGAATGCATGGAATCGGTTGAATTCGCTTGAGGATATGGCGATTCTGCCCATCTTGACGCTGCCCATATTGCTGTACCAAGTGCAAGGCAGAGATTCAGTTCCAATTCACAAGCTGCCGAGCTTGCTTCGGATCAGGTGCAGCTTTGCGTGCAGCCTCCGGCAATGAAGTCTCCAGGCAGCCAGAAGATTCGCAGTTCTTGCTCACTGCAGTGGTTTCGTGACCATGCTTGAAGCTTTGCTATAGAATCATAGAACGTACATTTACGGCCAATTCTGTTGAGCAACAACTCAAAATGTTGGAACAAGATGTGGATTGTCTTTTCGACTGATGCTTGACAAAAGCTGTGTTAAAAAGAGCGCCACTCCATGGTTTGTTTAGGCCAGGTGAAGGAGCTGTTGTTGCTCACTTGTTGGTGTCAGCCTTACTTTTGCCTTGCAACATGTAGGTAAACGGTATTTTTGTTTTCTTCTCTTTTCAAAGCTCATGTGCATATAATCTCCATACCACATGGCTATCAAAGAGGCAGTCACTCAAACCCATCCACTCCAGGAATACTTTCTGTGTCTGACATACCGAGTCTGTAGTTGACGACTACCTCGACTACTACGCCCAGGAGAATTCTAGTTGGACTGAGGTGTGGACTCCAATCCGGACTCCAATTATATATATATATACAAATGGAACAGATCCTATGGTGACTCCTCAGTTGCATTTGATTACCTCAAAAATTGACCGCATTCTTGGAAAGATAGTCTCGTACTTGAAGCAAGCCCCCTTTCGCTGTCAGGCCAAAAAGCGGATGACTGACATCATCAATCATGCAACAAGTGAAGAGGCGAGACATAACGGCTGACGCCAAAGTCTTGACTGCCGATGGCCACATGTATAATATGACGCTCGTTGCTGACTTTACCTTCCAGTCTCGAATGGCATCCATCAATGAGAAGGCCCGAATGAAGGCGTGCGGCATTGAGTGCTTCATTTTGTTGTGTGTTGTGACATCGCAAGCACTGCAGGGCTAGGCTAGGGCTTTTGCTTCTTTTGGAACATGTTCGCGTCGCTCTGCAGAAAGAGCACGATAAGACAGTCTCGGAGTACATGAGTGTGGTCAAGCGAAGACCTCAGGCCAATTTTTCTCAGTGGCTTGTCAACAGTGCAGCCACATCACAGACGCTGAGGCAATTGGACAAAGCCTTGAAGGTGGGCTCTTCTCACACCCCAAACAATAACCAACATACTTTCGCTTTG